GAGTTCCAGGACAGCTAGAGCTACACAGAGAAACCCTGTCTTTAGGGGGGAAGAAAGAGAGAGACAGGGTTTCACTATGTAGCCCTGGCTAATCTGGAACTTGCTATGTAGACCAGGCTAGCCTTGAGTGCTGGGATTAAAGGCATGCACCACCACATCTGGCAACTATCATTCATCTTATCAATTCAACATCTAACAAGGAGTGAACACATGGAGCTATGAAATAGTGGTTTGTCCAATGAATGAATAGAACAAGAGGGAAAAAAACAGGAAGGAAAGAACAGGCCATGGAGAGCAAGATGGATGGAAAAAGTTGTGAGAGGGATCCTAAAGCCTGGAGCTGGCTTACCACCGTCTCCTCGGCCCCAAGCAAACAGCTCTCCGTCTGTGGACAGGGCCAGGACATGAGAGGCACCACAGGCCACCTGTACCATCTCATAGCCCAGCAGGGCTTCCACAATGGTGGGCTAGAGAGAGGGAGAAAAGTAGGGTGATTGAGGTGTGTCGGATTTGTTTCCTCCCTTGCAAGCAGGAAGTTAGAAGCTGCAAATTCTCAGAAGGTTAACTGTCTCTTTAACACCAACCGCATACATTCACGGCATGCAGAGACAGCAACAGGTGGGAAGCTTTCTGTACTTCCCCTGATCTGACCCACAACAGGTGCAGCCTGGGAGCTGGTGGGACATGTGGCTCCTGGGAACTCCCCTGCCCCCAATCGGCTATCAGCTCTCAGAAGAGGGCTCCCTGGCATCCTCTCACTTCTCCTCTTCAGGGTACATGCATCACCCACCTGGCTGATGTCAGTGAGGTTGCCATGGCCTAAACATCCGTTGCTGCCACTGCCAAAGGTCATGATGATGCCTCGGTCTGAGAGGAGGGCAGTGAAAACGTAAGAGTTGTGGATCTGCATTTCGGGTGTTTTGGTTCACTTATGGTTGGAGGAGGGGGACAATACTGGGAGCTAAGTGGGGCATAGTAGCATGCCCCTTTAATCCCAGCACTCCAGAGGTAGAGGCAGACAGATCTCTGTGAGTTCAGAGTTTGAGGCCAGCCTGGTCTACAAGAGCTAGTTCCAAGACAGCCTCCAAAGCCACAGAGAAACCCTGTCTCAAAAAACAAACAAACAAACAAACAAACAAACAAAAAATAGAATGCTTGCTCACAAGGTCCTTGATTCAATCTCCAGTGAGAGAGAGGGAGAATTGAAAGGGAAAAGAGAAGATATTGAAAAGGGGCTGGAAGGGCAGGAAAGGCATAGATGGGTCTCCTTCCAAAGTGTAATTTTGGACTAGTGAGAGCCTTACTTTCCCCATCTGTCAAATGGGGATACTACAACATGCTCACTGCCAGGCCTACTGTGCCAGGAGAGGGCGTTGGAATCAGCAAATAGAAGCAGTAATCCTTAAGGGGAGAGTAGTTTTGGGATGAGGGAAGTTGCACTGTCTGGCTTTCTCCTGTCTCCAGAGTACTCCCCTGACAAGCTCACCAGTCAGGCAAGCCGTGAACAGGTCCCCGCAGGCCACATGCTTGATGGTCACACCCGACTGGCCCTCCAGGAAACGTGAGATGAACTGCGGCTGAGGCTGTTCCACTGCCCCTGGGAGGAGCGTGCCTCCTCCAGTGCCTAGGGGCGGGGCCTGCAGGGGAGTGGGCGGTGCCTGAGGATCCCAACTCCACTTCTGGTCTCCTACCCTCACAAGAACAAGCCCACTGCCAACCTGACCTCCCATAGGATGAGGCGCCCAGAGCGGGTAACACCAGCCTTCTGCGTGCGTCCTGCGGACACCTGGACCACTTCAGTGTTGAGCATCGGGAGCCTCAGGGGGACGCTAAGGCCACCACCCCACGCATACACCGAAGACAGTGGTGGTGGGATGGCTGGTCTCACGGGTCCCCGGGGAATACCTGCAAGGACAGTGTGAGGTCTGTTAAACTAGTGGAAATGGTAGGGAGTCCCAGGAGCTCCAGTGGCTGGTCCCCACTCACCCCTGCATCGAGCACTGGTGGCCCTGCTCCCTGTGCTGCCAGGGGCCATGGGTGGTCCTGGGGCCAGGGACTTCTCTGCCCTGCAGGATACAGAAGGGCCTCAGGACACGTCCTGTCCCTGGCAGTCCTATGTGACTACATAACGAAGGGTTAGCTCTAGACCTCCTGTGTTCCCATTGGGTGCCCTCCCCTAAGGCCCAGGACCCATCTCCCTGCACAGGCCTCCGCATACGGACGCTGCCCACATCGGTGTGGAGGTTGAGGAGGGCCCGGATGCAGAGGGGTTGCGCCATGATGTGACTGAGGGGTGGCCGCTGTGCAGGCTCCAGGCTGAGCAGACTCAGGACAAGCTGGCGCAGCTCAGGGCTGTACCGGTCAGAAATGGGCGCAAAGGTGCCACTCATAATCTTCAGCACCAGGGCTGGCAAGTTCTGTGAAGGCACCACATGTAGGGATGGCCAGAGTGCTGGGTTAGGCTCTTAGGTGAGGAGGGCAGTTCCCCCACTGAGAGAATAAAAACAGGTCTACGCTCAAGGTACCCAGTCTCATCAGAGAAGGCAAAATGGTAGAAGAGTCTAACACTGCTTCAGAACTTCCTAGTCTGATAAGAAAGTTTCAGCTATGTCCTCAGAAATCCCAGGTGCTTTAGGAACCTCCAGGCTAGCTCTTGGGAATGTCTCTAATCTGATGTCAGGGATCACATCCACTCCCTTAGGAATTCTCAGGCTAAAACAGGACTCAAGCCCTACCCTAGTCTGAGCTGAGCAAGGGAGAGGCACAGCCCTACCCTGGGGTAACCCACCAGCAGGTGAGGGACTGACATGACTCAGCCAGCCACAAGAGAAGGGAACACAGAAGTGGTCAGAGCTATGGCAGAGGAGTTGGGGGTTCTGAGTCCCTCAGGGGTATCTGTACTCACCGCAGCCTCGAAGGCTCTCTTGAGGCTGGCCAGCTCATACAAGACACAGCCCAGAGCCCAGATGTCACTCTTCTGGTTGTAGGGCTTGCCCTCACACAGCTCGGGGGAGATGTAGCATGGAGTGCCCACCACCTGCAGGAGGGAAGTCTGTATTACAGCCCTGGGAAGAGAGGAACAGAGGATAGCTTCTCAAAGCAGGCCAAGGGGCTTTCTCTCGCAGGCCCACGTAAGGGAAGAGGAAGAGGCAGGAATGCAGAGTAAGCCTCAGTGTCCCCCCACATCCAGGCACCGTGTAGGCCTTGCTCTTGCTGCTGAGGATCTTAGAGATGCCAAAGTCACCGATCTTGACGATCATGCGGTGTTTGTCAAGAAGGATGTTCTGGGTCTTGAGGTCCCGATGCAGGATGAGGTGCGTGTGCACGTGATGGAGGGCAAGCAGGATCTGCACGAAGAAGTGCAGGATGGTCTCCTCCTCGAGCAGGGAATTGCAGCGCTTCTGGATGAACTCAGCCAGTGTGCCACCTGCCGCCCAGAGAACTAAGCAAGAGCTGGACTTTTCCACACTGGGAACAACCCACTGCTTTAACACAACAGGACACTGGGACCAGAGAGGGCAAGGAGCCTGTCAGGGTCACACGAGTGGGGCCACAACGCTATCCCTCTTTCCCAGAGGGAAACCACCTCATGGTGTCCAGCTATCCTGGGAGGGAAAGGTCCTCTAGGCTGAGGCAAGGTATCTGGCCTACCTGGTGCATATTCCATGGCAATCATGAGGGCCTTGTCCTCTAGAAAGTTCTCATAGTACTCGATGACATTGGGGTGGTTGAGCAGCTTGAGCACCTGGCACTCATTCTGTGCCGACTGTCGCTCCTCCTTGGTCATCTGTTCCACTGGGATCTGCTTGATGATCACCAGCTTCTGGTCAGCTTTGCGGAGACACAGGTGCACAATCCTAGGGACACAGAACACGCAACACCTAAGCTTAGGGCAGCCCATAGACCACATGCTCTTTAAACGACCGAGCTGGGCCTGGTGGAGGCTGAAGAGGACCTGGAGGTCAAGGCCAGTCTGACAAGACCCAGGCTCAAGAACAAGAAGAAAGGTCTGGAGAGATAGCTCAACACCCACTTCAGTAGGCTCAAAACAACCTGTGACTCCAGCTTCAAAGGATCTGATGGCTTCTTCTGGACTCCACAGGTGGCATTCACTCACACAAAAAATTTAATTAAAAATAAACCTTGGGGGGCTGGAGAGATGGCTCAGAGGTTAAGAGCACTGACTGCTCTTCCGTAGGTCCTGAGTTCAATTCCCAGCAACCACGTGGTGGCTCACAACTATCCGTTATGAGACCTGGTACCCTCTTCTGCTATCCAGATATACATGGAAGCAGAATGTTGTATACATAATAAATAAAATCTTAATAAATAAATAAATAAATAAATAAAATAAACCTTGGGCTGGAGGGATGCGTTCAGCAATTCAGAGCACTGGCTGCTTTTCCAGAGGGCCCAGGTTTGGATCCCAAAACCCACATGGCCGCTCACAACTGTCTGAAATTCCAGTCCAGAGGATCCAACTCCATCTTCTGGCTTCCACATGCACTCCATGAACATTTCAAATATCCATATATGCATACAAAATACTCATGCATGCATATGATATAAAATAATCAAATCTTGGGGCTGGAGAGATGGCTCAGAGGTTAAGAGCACTG